GTTTAACAAAGGAACACATAACTTGAACAGGTTCTCAAGATATAAACCTGCCTTGCATCATTTTAATCTTTAGCAGTAGATACCAGTGGGTTTTCTAAACCTGATTTTCTTTTCTTGAGGGAAGAACGTAACTTTCCTAATTTTTTAGTTTCAAAAACTCTTTTCATACATTCTCACTGTCTACACCTTAAGCCACCTTCTCCTGTTTGTTTTAGCTGTTGCTTGATTTTCCCTTTCTCTAACAGAAGCCTTTCCCTACCTCTCTGCCATTTACCCACAGAATGATTATAGTCATCCTTCCAAATGTCTGGCTCAAGACCTCTACTGTTTCACTTTTAAGCATATCTGCCTCTGTTTTCAGCGCACATTTTTCTCATTTCATGGGGTTGATATACTTATTAGAAATTGGGTATGACAGATACATTGCCACAGGGGAACAAAACTGAGGATGGCTCTGCAAATTACACTTAAGAAATTGGAAAAACAGTTAACATTATTTACTCAGAAATGCATCCTAATAAATGTCAGTGATATTATAAACAAGAGGACTAGGAAATGTTCTAATTACCAGGGTCATGTGAGCAGAGAATTCAAAAAGAAAAGAAAATGCAGGAATAGCTTGTATAGGTCTCTCTCTTTACTTTTCACTCGTGGATTCTAGCCTCTTTCTAGACTGCCTTAGAAGTGATGAGCTTGCAATTCTGTAACAGTAGTGCAGTTTCAAAGTGCTATCTAGCTGGGCATGATGGTGCACACCTATAATCTCAGCACTCTGAGAGGCTGAGGGAAAAACATGAGTTCAAGCCCAGCCTGGGCAATTTAATGATTTAACAATACTTTACCTCAAAATAAAAAGTGAAACAGGACTAGGGATGTAGTTCAGTATGAAGACCCCTTGTTCAATCCCAGTACCACCCCCAAAAACCAACAACAACTACGCTATCTACATACAAATGGAATCTTCACCACTCTCTAATGTGACTTAGAGCAAATTTTACAGAGCCATTTCATTCAGGTGTTTTCATGAAACCCGCCACAACCTGACATCATCATACATATTTATTGGATTGCTTTATGGGCATTCTCCTTCACTAAAATATAAGTCCCTTAAGGGCAGAAAGTGTCCTTTCTGTTCCCAGCTCTATCCCAGTTACCAATAAGGCACACAGTAAGCACTAAAAGATTTGGTGAATAAATTAAGTTGATAAACCTCCCTAAGCCTCAGTATCGTCATCTGTGAGAATAAGAGGACAGTCTACTTGGGATGGACAAGGAGAGAGTTAAGTAAGAAAGCTGTACAGAGCAAAGCATGGTGCCTGGCTGATTGTTACTCAGCAAATATAACACCAAAAGCCCTTCTGTTATGACTCATGTCTAAATGTACCCCCAAAACTTCATGAGCTCATAGATGGGGGTATGGGAGGTGGCAGGATCCAGGGTGTGTGAATACGGGTTGCGGATGTGAGAGACTGGGTCAGTCCACTGATTGGATTAACATAGTTCTCAGTGTGGCCAAATAAATTTGCTGAAGACAGGAGCATCACTCGATATGGGTGGGACCAACCAATAGGCTTGTAACCTGGGTGAAAAATAAAGGGAAGGGGAGGTTCACTGTTTGCTGCCTCATGCTTACCCTGCCATAGACTTTTTTCATCTGCCAAGCCCCTCTGCCAGGCCACCTGCCACGGAGCCAGCTGACCACGGACTGAAACCTCTACAAACTGTAGAGGTTTTTTCTCTTTTAACATTTGGGTGTTGGGTATTCCTACTCCAGCAATGAGAAATGTACCTAAGACAGCTTCTTTCTCCCCAGATCCTTTTCATAATGGATATTTTATAATGCCCCCTTTCTATCCTAAACTCAAATTCCTAGTCTATCCACATGATTTAAAATATACATATATATATGCCTCTTATATAAAGAAGAACATATTTTAATGTATGACTCTTTAAAAGTGTATATTTCCATGTGTAAATGTTCATGTTTGACTATACAGAAGATCCAAAACCCTAGAAATTTCCAAAATGCCCTGGGGTAACTATCAGTTCACTCCTATGTAAAGAGTTATAAAAATAAACACTAACAAAGTGAAAAAAAAAGAACATTAGAATCAGAAAATTACACTAGGAAGGAAAAGAGGTCCAATGGGAAGATGCTCACTTCAGCACCTGGCAGCAGGGAAATGAGGTCCACAGCCCAGAGACCAGAGCGCAGCTTGGGATCTCACATGCTGCCTGGGACATCTACAAAACAACCTACCATCAAACCCAAGGTCACAACTCCAATTGCATATGCTCTAATTCACAAAATGTTAGCCATACAAGGAAATACATGGCTCGTTTACTTCCAACTGTTTGTTTTATCAGCGAGGAAATTCAGGCCCAATAAGGCTAGTGAGCAGCCCTGTGTCCCCGTTCTCAACTAGCAGCATGGTTAATGATGAGCTCTGTTGGGCCAGAGAAACTGCACCTTATCTGCACACAATTATGGAAGTGAAATTTTGTGCATGTGTGTGTGGAGGGGGTGTTCTCATGGCACTGGGGCTTGAGTCCAAGGGTCCTCTACCACTGAGCTATGTCCACCCTTTTTTATTATTTTGAGACAGGATCTTGCAAAGTTGCCCAGACTAGCCTCAAACTCAGGGTCTTCCTGTCTCAACCTCCCAAGGAGCTGAGATTACAGACGTGTTGCCACACTGGGATTTTGCATTTGCTTTTAAGGTGTTATCCTCATTATCCAAAAGACACTACCTTCACATCAGTGAGGCACACTCTATACAAAAATATTATTGAGAACACAGAAACCACTAGTAAGGACATTTCAATAATGTTAGCAAAATTAACCATATAGGGAAATTCCATTAAACAAAAGGCAGAGAGTTTCTACTTAAATAAAAGAATCTACCCATTGCCTGTAGAAGATACAATGCTCTTCTGTTGAACAAAATGTAAATATCTATTGAGATATATTTCCTCTTCCCATATACTATTAGCCCAACTCCCCATATCCCTTTTTATGCTATTACAGATACACCTTATTAATATTAGTATTAATTATTATTTTGGATGTCCTTATTGGGTTTTTTTTGAGACAGGATCCCTTTATGTAGTTCAGGCTGAACTTGACTCTCATTGTGTACCCCAGGCTGGTCTCAAACTCATTGTGATCCTCCCGCCTCAGACTTTCAAGTGCTGAGATTACAGGTGTGCACCACCACACCAGACTCACAGATATAGCTTAATCTCATAAGATGATACAAGTGGTGAATGCTCCTCAACAACATTATATAACTATAATTTATTAATTAGTAGAATGAAAACACAACCTATGCAATGGGAAAAAATTTGCCAGGTATTCCTCAGACAGAGGACTAATGTCTAGGATATATAAAGAACTCAGAAAAATTAAACTATCTAAAAATTAAAGACACAGCCAAAAAATGGGAAAGAGAAATTAACAGGCACTCCATAGAGGAAGAAATAAAAATGGTTGACAAATATATGAAAAAAACATTCAACATCTCTGGCCATTAGAGAAATACAAATCAAAACAATTTTATTCCATTTTATTCTGGAAAGAATGGCAATCACTAAAAAACCAAAAAGTAACAAATGCTGGTGTGGCTGTTGCAGAAAAGAAATCTTCCTTCATTGTTGGTGGGAATGTAAACTAGTACAATCATTATGGACATAAGTATGGAAATTTCTCAAAGAATTGGAATTAGAAATCCCATAAAACCCAGCTATTCCCCTACTAGTATCTTTCCCAAAGAGCTTAGAACATCATACTACAGTAATACATGCATACTAATGTTTTTTAGCAGCATGACTCATAATAGCTAAATTCTGCAAGCAGCCCCTATACCCATTACCAAATGATTGGATGAAGAAAATGTGGTATCTATATATTATGAAATATTACTCAGTTATAAGGAATGATACATTTGAGACTTTTGTAGGAAAATGGATGCACCTGAAAATATAATGTTGAGTGGAATAAACCAGGCACACAAGCTTAAATTCTGTATGGTATCTCTCATTTGCATGAGGCAAAATACAAACAAAGAGGATAGTAAAGGATGGATAGAAGAGGACAAAGGGATGGATCTCTTGCCATATGGAAATGGTCCAAGGGAACAAGGATGAGGGGTGAGGAGGAGGGGAAGGGGAAAGAAGTAGAATAAAGATGTGTCAGGTACAGTAACCTAATAACGTCAATGAATGTACACATATATAGCACAACATGAGATAAGACTAATAATATCAACAAGAATGAAAATTGGGATAGGAGAACTGAAGGAGGAAGGAGTGGGGGAAGGAAGAGGAAGAGGATTTAAAGAAATAAAAGGAACAAGCTATAGTATGTGCATACACCCACTCTCCAAGGCTGTGAACTGCACGTACTGCAAACATGTGCTAATAAAATTTTTTTAAAGTGAAAAAAAAACCTACAATTTATTTACTGCTTGCCATGTGCCTGGCCTGGTGCTCAAACCTTTTACCCGGAAGTGGTTCTCTATCCTGGCCATAGTTCACAATCATGCAGGAGGTCAGCCCTCCAGGATGCAGCCAAGGGCTGAGAAACACTACTACCCATCACATTGTCAGAGGTAAGCACTATGATGACACTCATATTGCAGAAGAGGAACCTCAGATACCAAGAGTCTAGTCAACTTGCCAAAGTTAGCATATTAAGCAGCTGAGTTGCAGTCTTCACTCGGAGAGGCTGAATGGACACCATTATAGTAATAGATATTACTATTTGCATCATGACAATTAATGAATAAAGACAGAGTCTAGACTGAATAGCCAATTGTTCAATTAATTATTTGTTTTTAATATATTGAAAGTTACTCCTCAGCCAAAAAATATCTTTAAGCCATTTTATACTTTCCATTTCTTCTTCCTCCAAATAGAGTTACAGAGTAAATATGTATTCTAATATTTTTCATTTACTTCTTTAATTGAAGTAAAATTAACAAAGCATAACTCACCATTTCAATCACTTCAAAATGTGGCATTCAGTGGCATTTAGTACATTTACAGTTTTGCACAATCATTGACCGTTTCGGTTGAAATCCCAAAACATTTTCATCACTCCAAAAGAAACTTTATACAGTACTCTCCACCTGTCCATTTCCCTCGGCAGCTAGTGATTTTGTCTCCATGAACTGGCCTATTAGGAAAATTTCATATGAATAAATAAATATGTGTTAGTTTGTGACTGGCTTAGTTCACTTCTCATAATATCCTCAAGATTCATCCATTTTATATCAACACATGTTAGTACTTCATTCCTTTTTATGGCAATCTCCCATTAAATGAATACACCATATTTTGTTTATCCATTCATTGATTGATAGGCATTGGAATTGTTTCCACTCGGGGTATTATGAAAAATGCCACTATGAGTATTGATGTAGAAATTTTCATTTGAACAAAATGATGTTTGCAGTAACTTTTCTGACCCATGATTTAATCAGTCTCATTCCAACCAGGCCCAGTATTTAGTATTGAATTATCTTATCAGTCATTAAATTTTATTTGTACACTTGTCTCAAGTATTCTGACTTAAACCATAGTCTATTTAACAAAGTAAAATAATGTTTGACCCAAACCAATGTTTTCAAATGGCTCTAATTCCACTTGGGGAGCAAAGCGGCATTCGGTGCAGGTTGAATATTGGTTTCTTTTACAAACCTCAACTATAAATTTTGTGTGTCCTTGAGTAGGTCACTTCCTGTTAACTCATATAACCACTGGTCATTGACAACATCTCAAGGTTCAGGACTAGGCTCAATGATGGAATATAGTGTATACTATATAGACAGAGGCTCTGCCCTGGTAGAATTTGCACTCTAATGGAGATGAGCACTGAATAGTTACTTATGCACTTAAATTGCCTAATTATAATGGCCATGAGTGTTCCACTCACAGTTATGAGTCACTACTATATGGTATTGCCCCACACATATGCCTTCCAACAGCCCAAAAGCCTGAAAACCCACAATAGAAATTATGGCTTGGAATCTTTAGAAGTATTTTTGGTTCCAAGAGCTCTATTAAAACTAAGAAAATTTGTGTAGATTTTGGCTGCTAACAGATGTAATCTTGAGAACAGCTAAGTAAGAATGGTGTGGTGAAAAAGCACTTTCAAATAGTGGTCCGTGCAATCAAAACTTATGTATATATGTATAGGCGCTCTAATTGATGAAATGATGTGTCTAAACCTTTTTTGGTAGGTCCTATGTTTACACTAAGGAGTATAAGGCTCTATACTTGCCTTCTTTTCCATACATTCCATTAACTAAAAATTCAAACTTTAATAATAGTACTGTAGAAAATATTACAAAACCAATTTAATCTAACAGCTATAAAAATAGTAGTCTTTGAGCAATTTCTACCAAGTTAATAAGAACACTGTAATTTAATAAGCTAAATTAGACCATTTTTAAGAACAGGTATTTTTATTACAACTTCAATTCTAAGTTTGCATCTTAACTGTAATTTCATTGGCTTTTCTCAAAGGAAATATATTTTCACAGACCTTAGTAGACCCAAATATTGTCCAAAGTTTGACTACATCATTAAAAATCTTGAGTTAGCTCTGAGGTCTATATGGTGTTTATGCAAATCCTAAAGCATGGCAGACTTCCTGGTGGGCCCACTTCATACTTTGAACCACACAGCTAAGGCAGAAGTTAACCATTCCCATCCCCTAATCATGCTGTAAGGGTAGCTATAGAGACTCAAAGCATACACTGCATGCTTTGTATGATGTTTTCTCTGCAACTGTGACTTCATTTGTGTCACTCCCCACCAAAAAAAAAAATCCTTTTGAGGATTCCTTTTCTTAGAAGTCCTTCTTTGATAGGTGCTGTGTATGTTATGGGTTGGTAAGTGCAGGGGTCCAGCTCCCATGCAGAATCAGAAGAAGCCAGATCCTGCCTCTCCCCATCCTAGTGAGCCAGAGACTAGCTTAGAGACTGTCATCCTGACCAAGATGATCTACCAGACGATGTGAACTCTCACTATGGATAAAAGAGATGTCTGAATTTACCTATGTCCCATTGTAACAATTCTCCTCTCTGCTGCAAGTAAAATTACAGGCCTCAAGTCTGGGAGCCTGTGTCCTTTTACTCTAGGTTCTGCCAGTTCTTCTAGACCAGACAGTAAAGGCATTAACCACTGTATAGCCATTAAAGAAGATTAGAGGGTCAAGGACCACACTTGACCATTTGCCCCATGTTCGGCTCTATTTATTGCTTTTATTTATTTACACTGATACATAGTAGCCTGATGTACATGGAACATGGGTAGGACGGGATGCCAGACTGCAGAGAAAGGTACAAGGAGAAACTGAGGGTATCCCCCTTTATTAGTCAGTCTTTGGGCATATCTTGGTCCTTACATTTTATTTTTCTATCATGTACACAGTTATTGAGGGAATGTCTTCCATGGAAATGTGGCCAAATCAAGACTAGAGGACCAGGTGGTTACTGAGAATGGCTATAGTTCAACACATTCACAGATCTCTATGGCAAAGTTGTTCAAGAATCCTCTAGTCTTTGAAAAAAATTCATCTTTGCTCTCCTCAAGAACAAAGTATGTGTTTTGTACTTTCAATGTGTTTTTGTACTTTCAAAGCGTTTTATACATTCCTAAAGTCTCTAGAGGGGACCTCTGGGAGGCAAGCATGAATGTTTTTAAACATGTATTGATATCTGCTTGAGATGAGTAAGCAGTGGGTCAGTGATCATTTCAGGAGCTCTGCATTCTAAGTATTAATATCACCTGTGAAGATTACTCTGTGTGAACACAGAAAAGAGAACAAATCAGTTACCCTTTTGGAGAAAAGAGAGTAAGAGGAGACAGGTCTTGTGTATCTGGAATTAATGACTTTTACAAATGGCTCAATCAGCTTCCCACCTGAGTTCAGGGATTGGGGAGGAAAATGATAAATGGCCAAGAAGAAAATTTTAGCCAAAGGTAACTCTGTAGTGCAATACGGAGTCTTATTATTACTTTTATTTAATCTGCAAAGCATTTAGCATGTATGTGGCTTTGAGTACTATTTCTTAGTGGATGGAAGAAGGAAGGCCTGGACAATGAGCATATCCATTACTTTCTTATCATGACAGCTCTAGGCATCTGTTCCCCGGTGATGTAGCTCCTCTGCCATGAATAAGACTGCAGAATTATTAAGCCACCCACAGCCACAAATATGATTTAGAAGTGAGTCTATGGAGACCTATCTGTGTGCTTCACAGAGGAAAAGCAGTCCCGCACATACACTTTTAGCCAGCTGTTTTCCTTATGTTTGTTGGTGCTGAGACAAAATACCCAACACCCACAAGTTAAAGGAGGAAAGGTTCATTTCAGCTTATAGTTTGTGGAGGTTTCAGTCCATAATTGGCTGGCTCCAAGGCACAGTGGCAGGGCAGAGGAGCATCACAGAGGAGAAACAGTTCATGTGTGGTGGGCAGAAGGCAGGGAAGCAGCAGCAGCAGCAGCCAGCCTGCCTTTCCCTTTTATCCCATCCAGACTACCAGCTTTTTGGGCAGTGCCACCCAGAATTATGCTAGTTCCAATCAGTGGACTAACTTAGTACCACACGCCCTCATCCCCAGTATCACATGTCCTAGATGCAGCCAGCTCCTAAAATCCCCACCTATTAGCACGTGAGGCTCTGGGAGGACATCTAGAAACCAGCCATTACACCAGCTTTGGAACAAGTAGCTTCCCCAACAAATAAATGTTTTCACGTTCCCATTCAGTTCCCAACATACTTTCCTTATATTTTTCACTTAGTTCTCACTTTTCATGAAAGACACACATACTCACACAGTTTAGGAACACACACTGCTGTCAGACAATCATGATCATTCTTTCAGTATTTTCCACCCCCATTACCAAGACAGCACACTATTTTGTCCTGATTTTTCTATCTCATACAATTTCTATCCACTTCCCACTGTTCCGCACCACCTCCCCTTTCCTACTCACTCATGACTATAGAGCTTATATATATATAAATATATATATATATATATATATATATATATGTGTGTGTGTGTGTGTGTGTGTGTG